TGTCCCCCCACTCCGCTGGGCCTCCCAGGAACCCGCGAAAGTTGTGACAATTGCACACTTCGCAGATCCCCCAGGAACCGCGGGGTCTCAGCTGGGTGTGCGTCCCCCCCCCCCCACACACACTCTCTCTCACACACACACACACACACTTTTGGACCTCCCAGAAGCCTACGAAAGTGGCGATTCTTGCGCAGTTCGCAGACCCCCCAAGGAACCGCGAGGTCTCGGCTGTGTGTGTGCGCGTGTGTGTAAACCAGCTTCTCGCAAGAGCGGAGTCCGCCGCCTCGCAGAAGACGAAACAAAGCATGCGTGTGTAATCCAGCTTCTCGCAGGAGCGGGGTCCGCCGCCTCGCAGAAGACAAAACAAAGTGTGTGTGCGTGTGTGTGTGTGTGTGTGTGTGTGTGCGTGCGTGCGTGTGTGTGTGTGTGTATGTGTGGGTGTGTGTGCGTGTGCGTTTGCGTGTGCGTGTGCGTGTGCGTGCGCGTGCGCGTGCGCGTGCGCGTGCGCGTGCGCGTACGCGTGCGCGTGTGCGCGTGCGCGTGCGCTTGCGCGTGCGTGTGCGTGTGCGAGTGCGTGTGCGCGTGCGCGTGCGTGTGCAAGGGGTTGTGCAAGTGCGTGCGCGCGTGCGCGTGCGCGTGCGCGTGTGCGCGTGCGCGTGCGCGCGTGCGCGTGCGCGGCCGCGTGTCGCGTTCCGCGTGTTCGGCGTGCGCGTGCTTGTGCGTGTGCGTGTGCGTGTGCGTGTGCGTGTGCGTGTGCGTGTGCGTGTGCGTGTGGCGTTGGTTCAGGGGTGCAGCGTTTTGCGTGGCAAGTGCGTGCGCGCCCTGCGCCGTGCGCCGTGCGCGTGCAGCCGCGGCGTGCGCTGTGCGCGTGCGCGTGGCCGTGCGCGGGCGCGCGTGCGTGCGTGCGTGCGTGCGCCGTTGCGCGTGCGCGTGCGCGTGGCGTGTGCGTGTGCGTTGACTAGTGTGTGTTTGCGTGTGTGTATGCGTGCGTTTCGGTGTGTAGGCGTGCGTGTGAGCGTGCGCGTGCGTGTTGCGTGTGCGTGTGTTGTGTGTGTGCAGTATGCGTGCGTGTGCGGTGGCGCGTGCCGCGTCGCGTGGCGCGTGCGTGTGCGGTGTGCGGTGTGGGCGTGCGCGTGCGCGTGTGGCGGTGCGTGTGGTGTGCGCGTGCGCGTGCGTACGTGCTGCGTGCGTGTTGCGTGTTGCGTGTGCGTGTGTGGTGTGTGTGTGTGTGTGTGTATGCGTGCGTGTTGGTTTCGTGCGTGTGCGCGTGCGTGTCCGCGTGCGCGTGCGTGTGCGTGTGCGTGCGCGTGTGCGGTGTGCGCGTGCGCGTGCGCGTGCGCGTGCGTGTGCGTGTGCGTGTGCGTGTGCGTGTGCGTGTGCGTGTGCGTGTGCGTGTGCTTGTGCGTGCGCGCGTGCGCGTGCGCGTGCGTGCGCGTGTGCGCATGCGTGTGCGTGTGCTGTGCGTGTGCATGTGGGTGTGTGGGTGTGGGTGTGTAATGCGTGCGTGTGTATCGTGCGTGCTCGCGCGTGCGGCTGCGCGTTGGTGTGCGTGGTTGGTGATGTGTGTGCGTATTCTGCGTGTGCTGTGCGTGTGCGCGTGCGCGTGCCCGTGTGCGTGTGCGCTAGCGCGTGCGCGTGCGTGTGCGGTCGTTGTGCGTGTGCGTGTGCGTTGCGTGTGCGTGTTGCGTGGCGCGTGGGCGTGCTGGCGTGCGCGTGCGTGCGTGCGCGTGGCGCGTATGCGCGTGCGTGGCGTGTGCTTGTAGTGTGTTTGTGTGTGTTGTGTGTGTGTGTGTGTTTGTGTGATGCGTGTGTTGTTATGCGTGCGTGTGTATGCGTGCGCGTGCGTGTGCGCGTGCGCGTGCGTGTGCGTGTGTGTGTGTGTGCGTATGCGTGCGTGTGCGTGTGCGCGTGCGCGTGCGCGTGTGCGTGTGCGTGTGCGTGTGCGTGTGCGTGTGCGCGTGCGAGTGCGTGTGCGCGTGTGACTTGCGTGACCCCCCCACTCCGCTGGGCCTCCCAGGAGCCCACGAAAATGGCGACAGTTGTGCAAGTTCAAGCAAGATGCAAACGCGACAGAGGAAGAGGAAGCGGAGGAGGGGAAAACGCAGAGAGAAACGGGGAGCGGGAGGAAGGAGGCACGATGAGAAGGGGAAAAGGAGGAGGGGGAGGCGGAGGAGACTTGGACAGCACAATGCTCAATTCAAAACGACAATCCAACACAGAGGAGGGCTTCGGAATAAGACATGACCGTACGCAGCAGCAAACACTTAAACATGAGACGCACTTCTAACAACGGTTCGCACATATCTGTAAACGAGCGAAACACTAAACGAACTACATACACATGACACATGTCGACGCATAACAAATTACAATGTTGGTTTGCCCTTGTTCAATGTTTGACAGATCCAGCGCACAGCCCATCCGATACACCACACTATCCTGGTGGCACGAGCTGCATAGCTGACGCACATGGCAGCCAAGGCTGTCCACAATCCCCGAAATCATGACATTGCGGAGGAGGGCCGCTGAAAGAGGCAAGCGAGAGACTTCCAAAGAGTCCCGAAATGGTGCCACACTGGTTTCGTAATGGTGTGCCTCTTTCCTTCCCTCGATGCCCTACCCTCAGGGCGCGCGGGCCGTGAGGGCGCGACGCAGCAGGGCGCGCACGATGGGCTCGTGCAGACGGCGCCGCAGCAACAAGGTCCCATCGGCATCGCCTCGGACACCGAAGGGAAGCTGGGGGAGGTGATGGAGGTAGGGAAAGGAGAAGGAAGGAGGAGGCAAGCAACGCAAATAACCATCGGACACAATGTCTCTCTATCGTTACGAGACTGAATTAGTTTGGAAATAAGTGGCTGCGGGAGCAAACTTCCGACTTAGAGGGCCCTGTTGGCGAGGAAGGCCATGCAATAGCCTGGCTACGGCCTCTGAGAAGGAGGAAGCGGGAGGAGGATGAATGGAGGGGGGGGGCGAGGGGGAGGCGGAAGGAGAAGGGGGAGCACGTGGAAGGTGTGGGGTAATGGGCAAAGGGAAGGGAGAGGACTTCTGACTGGAATCGTACCTTCGTGAACGCATGACGTGTGAAGGCGGCAGAACGCGCAGGCGGGCACTGTGACTCGCCGAAAGAAAACCATGACATGACGGGCATCACCACCCTGGAACCGACCACACGGGGGTGCCCTAGCGCCAAGAGACAGATAATGGCAACGGGCAAGGACATACGCCACCGTGCCGCTGGGCACAGGGTGGGCGTGTCCTCAAGTGGCTCAAGTCCTCTGCCCAATCCCCTGAGCCTCAGTCCTCAGCTCCGAGGAGTCCATTAGGGGCCCGGACCCAAATGTCCGACATCTCTGGGAGCTTGTCGCGTGCCCCCTGGGCTCCAGCGCGTATCCCTGGTTGACTTTTTCGGGCCCAAGAGGGGCCGAAGTCGGGCCAGGAGGGCCCCAAGACGGGCCCGAAGACGGTCCAAGAGGGCCCCGAGTCGCCGAACGATCGCCCCAAGACGCTTAAGATGGCCCCCAGAAGGCCCAAGAGGCCTCCAAGACGCCCCCAGAGACCTCCGCGAGGCCTCCAGAGAGGGCCCCAAGAGGCAAAAGTGTTTGACAGTTGTTGGCGTTCTCGCCTTTTCGGCTTCCCGACGCTCCAAGACGGCCCAAGAGGCCCAAAGATCGTCCCAAACAGCCCAAGAGGCCTCCAAAAGGGCCCCAACACGACCCAGGAGGGCCCCAAGACGGCCCACGAGGAACCCAAAACGACCCAAGAGAGCCCCAAGACGGCCGATGAAACGCGAACCGAAAATCTGAGCTTTCCGCCCAAGGCCCCCAGGAGGCTTCCAGAGGCGCCCAGGAGGCCCAAGATGCCCCAAGAGGCCCAACAGAGGCCGCAAGATGCCCCAAAACGGCCCCCACAGAGGCCTCCAGACTGCCTCCAAGAGGCCCCCGAGAAGCCTCCCAGGAGATCCCAACAAACATCCAATACGCTTCATACCCACAGCCCAGGCACACTCGCGGGATGGGACGAAGGCCAGCATATCCGCCGCCCCCTATGGTCTTGCTACAAGGGTGCCCTGCGTGCTGAATTTCTTACGGTGTTTGGTGTTGTTTTTTTCAAAGAACTCCTCCTGGGGCGTCGGTTCATTGCGCCGGCCATCCGAAAGGCCGCGCAATCTGGAGGAACAAATGCCCAATCGCCTCTAAGACAGCCAAGATGCCTCCACATTCGCCCGAGAAGTCTCCAAGACGGCCTAAGATGGCCTCGAGATGGCCGAAGACGGCCCAAGAGGCATCCAAGTGGCCCCCTTCCCCATATGAAGAGGTGGCTGCGAAGAAGAACGCGAAGACAAACAACAGAAACGGCAACATGATACGTAACTCGTAACATGAGCAGGAGGACGAGGATAACGAATCAACTTGGTGGAGAGGGCTTGGAGGCCGAGGAGGAAGAGGACTACGCTGATGAGCAGCAGCAACATCACAAGCAAACTAAGCAGGAGCAGAAGCAGGAGCAGGGCGCACGAGGAAGGGGGAGAGAGGGAGAGCGGGAAAGGAGGTGGGCCACGGGCAGGAGCAGCAGCGGCAGGCGCAGGCAGGAGATGCTTCCGGGATCATGAAACGAAGATTCCTACGGACGAAGACACTAGGAGCAGCTCACGCGGGATGAGGAGCAGCAGAGAGGAACTGCAGCTGGATGATGACGGGCCCGAGCACCAGGTGTACGAGAACGGGGGGAGGGGGGGGGGGGGGGGGGGGACGGCGAAGAGGAATACCACGCCGACTTCGAGGACGGGACGTAATGAGCCAGCTCCTCCTCATCCATCCTCCTGGTCCTCCACCCCCTCCATGTTGCACGATCCGTGCTGCGGCCCAACTGCCCCCCCCCACCCCCCATCCCCTCCTCCGCCTCCTGCTCCCCCCTCCCCTTCCCGCCGCCTCCCCATCTCGAGGGCGGCGAGGAGCCCCCCGACGCCCGACGAGACGAACGGGCCCCGGGCCGCGCCTGGCCTGAGCCGCCCGCGGCGAGCCCGGCGGCCTGCTCGCCGAGGCCGTGGAGCGGCCCGTGGCCTGCTGCCGAGGCGTCCGCCGGGGGGGGGACGCCGCGGCAGCGTCCGGGAGAGGCGCGGGCCTGCGCCGAGGCCCCCGCCCTCGCTCACCCCCGGGTGGCGACGTCCGAACCCGCCGCCCCACCAATGAGGGGGCTGCTCTCCACCACCACCACCATACGTTGGAGGGGGAGGGGGTCCTCCTCCTCCTCCTCCTCCTCCTCCTCCTCCTCCTCCTTCCTCCTCCTCCTCCTCCTCCCCCTCGCCCTCTCCCTTCCCCTCCCCCTCCACCTCCTTCCCCCCTCCAACTTATGGTGGTGGTGGGGGTAACACGGGCCCATCAACCATTCTCGGTTCTCTGGAACCGATGGAGGGGGGGGGCAGGGTTCGGATCTCGCAACGTTTTCGACCACCTCCGAACACTGCCCCCGCCGCCCATCGAGTTGCCCGAATCGTTGGTCGGCGAAGGTACGGTATGGATATCTCCGTCGATGCCCCATGCACCCCTCCATGGGTGCATGGGCCACGGGTCACCGTCAGACTCTGATGCTGTGCTCACCTGTGCAAGGTCAACCGAAGCCAACAACATCGGATCGGGATAATTCGGGACTCTCTGAGATCCGGCGGTTCTGGATTCTTCCAGAGCGCTCTGGAACGCTCTCAGAACATGATGAAATGCTCTGAGGCGTCCATGTCCCAACCCCGCCAGATACTCACCGGTGCAAAGGGTGCGCAGACCTCACGGCAAGGAAGTTGCAATGAGCTCACCAGGACTGCCCAGGACCGCCCACAAAGGGCTCCAGGGCACTCCAATACCGCCCGAACAAGCCTCTACTCCGACCTCCTTCCCCTTCGGGGAGCGGCATACCCCTGCCCACCTACTCCCTCCACTTGGGATCGGGACGAGAGTTTCGCGACGCGTCAGGGCGTCGGCCCCATTTCAGATAACACAGGGTGGCGTCCAAGGTGGTACTAGAGAGCTGGAGTGGCACAACGTAGGTTCTCACATGCCTCAAAAAAGGCCTCAAGACCGCCACAAGACAGCTTCAAGTGGGCACGGAGCCTCCCAGACCCTGAAACCAGCCAAGATCACAGGGTTTTGCGCCGTGGGCCTGCGAAGCCTATTGATGACTCCACTATCGCCAAAGAGAGAGAGCCCCATACGGGGTCTCAGACGACCCCACGAGCGCTCCAAGAGGCCCCAAGAGGCGATGTTTCGGGATCCGACAAGGGGAGGGAGGGCGTAATTGATTTCAGGTTTACCTCCAGCAGGGCTTGCACTTAGGGGATCTTGCTTCTAAGAACTGGGCTGGTGTGTCCGTCTGGCCGCTATGTAGCCGCCACCGCTGCCCCGTCGCCGCCTCGTCGCCACCCGTCGCCTGGGCCTGTGTGTCCGCCTGGCGGCTACGTAGCCGCCGTCGCCGCTCCGTTGCCGCCAGTCGCCTGGGCTGGTGTGCCGATCTGGCGGCTATGTTGCCGCCGTCGGCGCCCCGTCGTCGCCTCGTCGCCTGCGCGCGCGCTCTTGCGAGCTCTTTGGAAAACCAATGGATTGTTCGAAGATTTCAAGCGCAGGCGCCTGTCGGCCGTCCTGTCGGGGGACACGATCCTGGTCAAAATCTACAATGTGGGCCACTCGCGGCCGTCGGCCGCGCGCGCATGTCGAAATCCTTCCGAAACCCCATCACCGACGCGTAGACACCATCATCGTCATCGGCGTGATCGTCGTCGGCGCCATCACTGGGTTTGCGTCGCCATTGTCATCGCAATCGCCAGCATCGCAAGTGGCATCATGGTGTTTCGCGTTGTCGACGTCGCTTTGATACCGCGCCAGGCCGAAACACCGACTCGCACTGAAGTGCCCGCGCGAAATCGCGGTCTGCGGGACGCACTGGGAAGTGCACAGCGGTCAACGCCACCGAGGCCGCGTCGGTCGCGCCACACTAGCTGGCCGCTCTGCGCGCGAGCTCGCGCGCGCTTGCGCGGCCGCAGTGGTGCGCCAGCCAACGCCACGCTGTCACCGCAATCTCCGCTGCATGGGTTTTGCAAACAAGGTCGCAGGCGGGCGGGTGGAATGATTGCGCGAACAGTGGGGCTGACAACTTCGAATTTGGCAGGGCGAATTGCACCTCATTGGTTCTCCTTGCCGGTTCCTTTTTCAAAACATGAGTTTGGATCTATTACCCCTCGAAGCTGGGAAGATCGACCCTTTCGGGGATGCGCAATTTACGCACGATCCTGTCCAATCGTTCACCATCCATACCAAACGGGTTCGACCCCCTAACCATCCTCTGGGAAAGACGATGCGAACACTCTCGTTTCTTCAACATTGTCAACTAAAGACCCTGTAACAAAATCACGACGCGCACGCGCGCGCGCGTTGTCGCGCGCGCATGCCGGAATCCTTCAACAACATGTTTCGCGTCAGATGGTCTTACAAACGGAGCAATCCAAAACTATCAAACACTTACACTTTCGTAATACAACGTTTCAAGAGAATGCTGACGCGCGTGACTGCGGATTCCGCGGGCAAACACAGACGCTATGTTCTCATTTGTTCATCGCGTGCGACCACACAGGCCTCTCGCGCGCGCATGTCGAAATCACTCGAATGCCCTTGCGTGTGCTGGGGCGGGGCGCGACCCCTGTGAATCAGACCATTCGGGCCCCTCGCGCGCGCTGGCCACGCGCGCATGTCGAAATCAATATTAAACCATCACCGCCGACGCGTGGACACCAGCATCGTAATCAGCGTGATCAACATCGGCGCCGTCACTGGCCGTGCCGTCGTCGATGTCATCGTCCTCTGGAGAAGAGGAATCGGGTGATGATGAGTATGATGATGGGGAGGAGGAAGAGGAGGAGGAGGAGGAGGAGGGGAAGGAAGAGGAGGAGGAGGAGGAGGAAGAGGAGGAGGAGGAGGAGGAGGAGGAGGAAGTGCGGTGAAAAAAAGGGAAGCGGGGGCGACAAAGGTATTTACACAGATGCGGGGGAGAAGAGGACGGCGACGTTGATCATGAACAACTACACGGCGACGCCGAAGGCGAAAGCAAATCAGAAGCAGGGGAACGCGGGGGCTACGTTGGCCCAAAAAGCGCTGTCTGGGGATACTGAACTCTGGCTATGTTTTCCCGCAAACGTTACCAAACGTTCATTCCGCGCGCGCGTGCCGAAATCATTCGAACGTCCGCGCGAGCGTTTTTGGAGGGAAAAGGTCGGGGGATAATCCGTCCAATAACGTCATGTGGGCCACTCGCGCCCGCCGGCCGCGCGCGCATGTATAAATCCTTCCAAAACCTCCATCAGCAATGGGAGGACACCATCACCGTCATCGGCGTGAACAGCATCGGCGCCATTCTTGCTTATTCCGTCGTCGTTGTCGTCGCCCCCTGAATCGCGACTATCACTACCACTTCTTCCGTCGCCGACGACGCCATGATACCGCGCCCGCCCGAGTCACCGACCCACCATGATGCGCCCGCGCGCCAACGCGGCTTGCGAGACGCGCTTGGTAATGCCTGGCGGCCAACGGCACCGAGGCCGCGTCGGTCGCGCCAGACTGGCTGGCCGTTCAGCGCGCGAGCATGCGCGCGCTCGCGCGGCGGCAGCGATGCGCCAACCTGTGCCATGCAACCATCGCAATCGCCGCCGCATGGGTTTTGCAAACCGAATTGTGGGTGGGTGGGTGGGATGATTGCGCGAGCATGGGAAGTCGTCGCGCGCGAGGAAGTCAAAGTCAAGGACACCACGCTGCTTGTCATTTGTATGTGTGTATATGTGTACATCGGACAATAAGTGACGGTTTATGATATCCCCACACCGAGTCTGGGATTCTCGACGCCCCTTAGGGATGAGCAATTTAAACGCAATTCCGGCACATCATTCATTCGAAATGCGAAATATGGGCTCATACCATCCCAGACAGGCTGGCATGGCCCCCGCCTCCCTCGTCCTCTTCAAATGATACTCTACCCTCGCACCAAGCATCCCTTCCAAAACGAACATGACGAATTGCTCGCGCTCGCGCGTCGTCGCGCGCGCATGCCAGGATCCTTCAAAAAGATTGGTTCTCGTATGGCTTCAGAATCGAATGTCACGAAAATATCAACCAACCGACATCAAGGTGTTGTCGAATAGCTTTTAGCAACAGGACTTGCCCGCGCTTTTGCCAATTCTTGAAGAAATCCTGCTGTGACCAACGTGTTGATCGCATGAGACCAAGCGGGCCTCTCGCGCGCGCGTCGAATTCATTCGGACGCCTTTGCGCGCGTGCTGGGGGGGGCACGACCCCTTTCAAATTAAGGCATGCGGGCCACTCACGCGCGCCGGCCGCGCACGCATGCCGGAATCTCCCCAAACCTTTTTCTATCGTCGACGCGTGGACACAATGATCGTCATCGGCGTAATCCGCATCGGCGCCGTCATTGGCTTCGCCGTCGTCATCGTCCTCGCCACGAGCGCCACTACTATCATCAGTGTGCCGTCGTCGGCGTCGCCATGAAATCGCGCCCGCCCGAGCCGCCGACACGCACTGAAGCTCTCTCGCGTAAGCGCGGCCTGCGAGACGCTTTGGTAATCGCTCAGCGGTCAGCGCCACCGAAGCCGCGTCAGTCTCGCCACACTAGCTGGCTGCTTTGCGCGAGAGCCTGCGCGCGCCAGAACGGCCGCCGCGATGCGCCAACCAGCGCCAAGAACTCATGGCAATCGCTGCCGCATGGGTGTTGCAAAGCAAGTTGCGGGCGGGTGAGTGGGATGGTTGCGCGAACAGTGGCGCTGATAACTGCAACTCGGCAGTGTTCATTGCACCACGTATGTAGCACCACGTAGGTGTCACAACAAAGATGCACAACATGTTTCGCAACATCGAGTATACAACATCGATTATCCACAGGGGGTTAACAACACATTGCGCAACACAGCGTGCACACACACTTACTGCGCAACACTGATTGTACCACATGGGTTGCACCACGTCGCTTGCAAACTATAGAATGTCCAACATAGATTGCACCACGTAGTTTGCACCATATGGGGTGCACATTATAGATTGAACCACGTCTATTGCATCACGTAGATTGCGCCGCGTAGATTGCTCCACGTAGATTGCTTCACATCGTTTGCACCACGTGTATTCTCCTTTCTTAACAGAGAGTTGACTCTACCCCCCCCGGAAGTATCCCTCCTTTTCATATTGCAATTCACATATGGTTCTGGCCCATCGTACATCCTCATCCCACCAACCCTCTGGGCTGAGGTGGTATAACACGTTTTTGTCTTCTCTCTTCCACTGAAACCCCTCCCCCTACCCCCTCCCCTGGGCCTGGACGGGGCGCGCCGCGAGGCGTTAGAGCGTCCAAGATGGCACAAAATGGCTCTTAGAGGCGTTCAAAGTCGCAAGATGGCCTCCAAGAGGGCCCATGTTACTTCAAGATGGGTCAGGATAGCCTCCGACACTAACCCCCAAGAGGCCCCAAGACAGCCCCAAGACGGATCCAAGTGCACTTCGAGCCCTCCACGGCGCTCTCTAAGATGCCCAAACCCTTCGAAAGCATAGGGAAAATCAATGTGCGTGGCATTCTCGCCGTTTCGCTTCTGATGGGCTTTGGAAGCCTCAAGATGGCACCATGATGGCCCACGAGGGCCCCAAGAGGGGCCCAAGAAGGCCGAAGACGGCCCCAAGATCGCCCAATAGCGCTCCAAGACGGCCCCAAGACGCCGTTTGAGAGCCTCCGAGGGGGGGATCCTAATTAAGGAACCTCCTCTTTTTGAGACAGGGGGCCCAAGATGGCCCCAAGAGGCCTCCCAGCCTCTCCCAAAGACCCTCCACCCGGCCCTCTTTGGCACAAGATGGCTCCAAAAGAGCCCTAGATAACCCAAGATGGCCTTCAAAATGGCCTAAGATAGCCAACCATGGCTCAAGATAGCCTCCGACAGACCTCCAAGAGGCCTCAAGGCAGCCTCACGATGGCCCAAGATAGCCGAGCATGGCTCAAGATCGCCTCCGACAGCCTCTAGCCGAGCATGGCTCAAGATAGCCTCCAAGAGGCCTCAAGGAAACTCCCCCTCATCGCCAACAACCCCTTCCTCGAGAGCCGTCTTGGCAAAGAAGAACCGCGGGAAATCCGCCCAGAAGTGGAGGGCCGAACCCCGCTCGTGCCTGGACCAAGGGCAAGCCTGCAACCCGCCCTGCCTTGCCCTGCAAAGCCCTGCAAACTCTGCAAACCATCCTTGCAACATGCCTCAATACCTCTGCGATGCTCTGCAAACCCTCTGCAATACCCTGAGGTCCCGAAAGACCTCTCAGAATGCCCAAAGTCAAAAATGCTATTGGTCCCTAGCTCGAAGAGTCCGCGGATGCATTTTTGGTGAACTCCCGGGTTTGCTCGAGCTCTCTCCTGTTTGCTCCAATGCATGCCCACACGCCTCCGTGAAAAGGTAATTGGTCCCGGGATGACTTCCTCATGTGCTGGCGGCTATATGCGAAGCGCTAACAACAGAAGTGGAAGTCTCACGCTGGATGCGTCGCTGCAACCTGACATTCGAGGCCCTCGGGGGGACTGCATCCCCCACCCCACACGGCCCCTCCCCCCAGAGGGGGAAGCGGGGGGCGGCAGGTGGGGTGGGTCATGTTCTGCGCGTTTGGCCAGACGCTGGCTCACAATCGGAGGCCAGACGCCCGGCATGCCGCACACACACATCGCTCAATATTTCCAACTGCCGTTGGCCGCCAGACAGCACGGTACGGAAACCATCCAGCCTGGGGTTTCGAAGCCACTCCGGCCTCGGCGAAGAGAAGCCCCACGGGGGGCCAAAAGCTGGCAGCAAAAACGCCCAAGAACCTCGAACCTCGACGCTGACAGGTCGAGGCCTCCCTCCGCCCCTCTGCAGGGCGCGAGCTTGCGACCGGCGGAGCGCGCCTCCACCCGCGCGGGCCCCAGCATCACCGCCGTTCACCAGAAGCACCAGGGCGCCGCGGCGCGCCTCGCAAGCGGCGAGCCTGTGGCAAAGGGCAATGCGTGACCGCTGCTCCTGAACACAGTGTCATGCGAACTACCGTGCCACTAGAAACGCCAAACACCACTGCGCCATTTCGTCCCAACCATGTTCTTCATCACATCGTTGCGCATCGTCCTTCAGTTCCCTTCTTTCCTATATCCCTACTTGACCTACCCCTTCTTCTCCCACTCCTCCTACTCGTCCTTCTGCCTGATTTCCTTCCATCCTCCCTCTGCCCTTCCCTCTCCCTCTCCCTTTTCATCTCTGGTTATGTTTCTCGTTCTCGTTCTGCGTATGTCTTTTTGTGTATGTTTATCTCGCTCTTTTTTCACGAACATGCTCATCCTCCCCCGTTCCGCTCCTACGACTGACGCTCTACCTGGAAATTCATTATCTGTATGATCACCTCCACGTCGTTCTCATGTCCTCCATCCCCGTCCATTCGTCCATCCTCCTCGCATCCCTCCTGGCTGCTCCTGAGGTATGCTCCACCTCATCGCCCTCTTCATCTGAATGATTTTCATCCCCATCCTCGTTCCTCCCCTTCTTCCTCATCGTGCTCCGTCCCTCCCTCCCCTCCTCCTGCGCGCCCCTCCTATTCCCGCCCCCGTCCTCCTGACTCCTCCCTTGTGCATGCTCTCGGGCAGTCTTGGCCGATGCCCAAGCATCAGAAATAGTGCACCTGGAACTTAAAAACAAAAAAGCGTCAGCCCTGACGTGCACTCTGTCCCGTAAGAATTCCATACGGCGGAATCGAAACCTCTAATACACATATACGAATATCCGCGACCGTGCCGCTGGGTACGGAGTGGGCGTGTCCTCAGGTCCTTTGCCCAATCCTCTAAGCCTCAATCCTCACTCATGAGGGGTCGTCGATGGCCTGGAGCCCACGTTGCCAAATCTCCTAGGGCTTGGCGCGTCTTGGCATGGCTTCTCGCGTAACTTTTCCGGAACTCAGAAGGCCCCAAGACGGGCCAAGAGGGCCCCAAGTCGCCGAGCAATCGCTCCAAGACGCTTAAGATTGCCACCAGACGGCCCAGGAGGCCACCAAGACGCCCCAAGAGGCCTTCAAGAGGCCTCCCAAGAGGGCGGGATGGGCCAAGAGGCCCCCAGAGGCCTCCCAAGAGGACTCTGACCACAACCCACGCTGGGTGGCGGGATGGGCCGAATGCCACTAGATCCGCCGCCCCCTGTGGATTCATCGCAGGGGTGCCTGGCGTGCTAGACCCTCTCGGTTTTGGTTTTGGTTCTTTTTTCAAAAGAACTCTCCCAGTGGGCTCCGGCGCGTCCCGCCGGGGCCGCGGAAGGCCCGGAAACGAGCTCAACGACCGCAAAAAATACTCCAAGATGGCTCGAGATGGCCTCCCAGACGGCCAAGATGGCCTCCAAGACGGCTCAGATGTCCCCAAGATGCCGCCAAGACGGCCCAAGATGCACCCAAGACGGCCGTAGATGGTGTCAAGATGGCCCACGACTGCCCAAGAGTCCCCCCAGAGGCCCCGAAGACGGCCCAAGAGGCCTCCAAGAGCTCCTCCAGGAAGGCTCGCCGAGGCCAAAATCATTGATTTTCCAAAGGTTTTTCAAAGATTTGGGTATTTACACCTTTTCGGCCTTCCGACGGCCCCAGGTGGCCCAAGAAGTCCCCAAGATCGTCCCAAGATCGCCCAAGAGGCCTCCAAGATGGGGCCCCAAGAGGGCCCCAAGACGGCCCAAGAGGCCTCCAACACGCCCAAGATGGCCTCCAAGACGCCCAAGATGGCCTCCAAGACGGCCCCGAAGCGCCCCAAGAGGCCCGACGGCGTCAGATGTGCCAGGACCCCACCAAGATGGCCGAAGTTGGCTCGAAGCTGGCCCAAAAGGGCCCAAGAGGCCCCCAAGAGGGCCTCCAGGAAGGCCAGAAGAGGCCAAAAACATTGATTGCCCTAAGGTTGTTGACGTATTTTGACATTTTCTGCGCCTCAGGCCTTCCGACGGCCCGAGACGGCCCAAGAGCCACCAAAGATCGCCGAAAGATCGCCCAAGAGGCCTCCAAGACGGCCAAGATGACCTTCAAGATGCCCACGTGTTCCCAGAAGGCTTTCCAAACCGATTCGGGGAACACATGGTCCGATGGCTTCGCAGGTCTGGCCTCAACGCAACGTTCGGCCACATCGGCGCTTCCACAAAGGCAGGGGGCGGCGGTGATTCGCCGTAGGCGTCTTCGATCCGCCGCCCCCTGTCGATTCATCGCAGGGGTGCCTGGCGTGCTAGACCTCTCGGTTTTGGTGTTGGTTCTTTTTCCAACAGAGCTCCCCCTGGCGCTTCGGCCTTCCCCCACCTAGGGCAGCGTTTCGTGGCCCCATAGGGAGCTCCACCGAAGGCCCCAGTGGGGGTGCCCGCATGCGGTTCCCCCACCCAGGGCAGCGTTTCGTAGCCCCATGGGGAGCTCCACCGAAGGCCCCAGTGGGGGTGCCCGCATGCGGTTCCCCCACCCAGGGCAGCGCTTCGTGGCCCCATAGGGAGCTCCACCGAAGGCCCCTGTGGGGGTGCCCGCATGCGGTTCCCCAACACAGGGCAGCGCTTCGTAGCCCAATAGGGAGCTCCACCGAAGGCCCCATTGGGGGTGTTTGCATGCGTCTCCCCTACCCAGGACAGCGTTTCGTGGCCCCATAGGGAGCTCCACCGAGGGTCTCAATCGGGGTGTTCGCATGCGTCTCCCCCACCCATGACAGCGCTTCGTGGCTCCATAGGGAGCTCCACCTAAGGCGCCAGAGGCGCAGTTCGCATGCGTCTCCCCCACCCATGACAGCGCTTCGTGGCCCCATAAGGAGCTCCAGCGAAGGTCCCAATGGCGCAGTTCGCTTGCGTCTCCCTCGCCCAGGGCAGCGTTTCGTGGCCCCATAGGGAGCTACACCGAAGGCCCCAGTGGCGGTGTCCACATGCGACCGCGCCACCATTTTCGGCGCACCACTCACAAGTTTCGTGGCCCCATAGGAGCTTCACCGAAACCGGTACCCACAATGCGGTACTCGCAACTGCACATGGTTGGGTCCTTCGTCAGGCAAATTTTGGGGGGGCAACAAACAAATGGGCAACAGTGTGTTCGATGGCGACGATAGTCTTCATGCGGGCACGCGCCTCAGCATGCCATCACTAAGGTTGCCAAAATGAGTCCACACTCGCATCCGCAAGTGGCCCGGCTCACTCTGCGGGGCCAGGGCACCACCTACGCGCCGATGCTGCTAGACACTGGCCATAGCTGAAGCCAGATGAAGCCAGGGGCCCTAAAGGCGAGGGCACCACCTACACGCTGATACTGCTGGACACCGGCCATGACAGCAAGTGTGGTGCTCCTGACGTCGCTGAAGCTGAAGCTGAAGCCAGGGGCCCTAGAGGCGAGGAACAAAAAGGGGGGAGGAAATCCTCCCTCCCAAGCCCGCGGAGGGGCCACGGAAACGAGCAGCAACCCAAGACGACCCCCCTGGGCGCCTGCACCACACTGGGAGCCACGACGCCCGCGAGGCCTGGGTGGGCGCCCCACGGCCCGGGCCGATGCCCCGCACCCAGCTGTAGGATGTAGGAGGCCACAGGCGAACCGCACCCCGCCTCCCCCCTTCGTCCTCCTCCTCCTCCTCCGCCTCCTCCTCCCCTTGGAGATCGTGGGGCTGAAAGGCAGGGCTCGCATCTGGCCGCCGACAGGTGGGTCTGCCCTGAAAGGATGGGCCACCTCGTTGTTTTTTGTCCCACCCACCAATCCGATCATGCAGCATGCAGTGTGGTGCCCAACCGAAGTCTCGCCTGCCGCCGTTCAACGGCGGATCAGAGAGAGCGGCCGGCTGGGCTTCGAGTGTTCACTTCGGGCACGTCGTGTCAGGCGGGTTCCGTAGAGCCCAACAAGAGTATTGACAGCTTGCAAGCTGTATGAGAGGAAGGGGTATGACAACGAAAGGTCGCGGTCGTGACCCGCTGAGGGTCGGTACCTAACATGTTCCCGCGTCAGAACCTAGGCCATAACCCCTCCTCTTTCATCCTCCAAGTCCTCACCACTCCAACAGTGCGCAGTCACCACCATGGACATGTTGATCATCGCCTTGCTTCAAGAACGCCCTCCTTCTCCTCCTCATCCTCCCGTCCTCCTTTATCACATGATCCTGATACGACGTCTGAACGACTCCGCCCCCGAAAATCCGGGCTCAAGGCCATTTCGACACCAAACCCGTACTTCGAGCTCGGATGCGACGTCGGTGAACCGTGACGACCGGCAGAGTGATGGTGCGAGGACAATTGGTGCAGAATGTTGCACTTTAGGATGCGGGGGTGTACTGACGTCTTGCGAAAACCGCCACCTCCATCCGCCGCCCGCCGCCCCCCAGGTATTAGACCTGCAGACGTCGGCAAGTTAGTCCCCTCCCCCTCCCTCCCCCTCCTTCCCCCTCCTCTTTCCCCCTCCTCCATCGGCCTCCCCTCCCTCCTCCTCCCCCCTCCCCTCCCCGCTCCAGGCGTCCTCTGGAGCCCCGCCAGCGCAGCGCGCCCGCAGGCGGCGGCCGCCGCCGTGGCCAGCGCCACGTCCCTGGCAACGCCAGCGCGCAAAAGGCAGAGGGCCTCGCCCGGCGAGGTCCGCGCTGGGCCTCCCTCTTCCCTTCCAACTCCTCAGCCTTCTCCTCCTTTCTTCTCCTCCTCCTCCTCCTCCATTCCGTTTCCTTATAAACAGCGTCTCCCTGTCGCACCCCGAGACCCATGTTAAAGGCGGGCCGTGCGTTTCGCCTGAGACTTCCACACCATGTATGACCCTGAAACTTTAAAAATGATGACAAGTTCACACATGGAGGGTGGGTGGTTTTCAAACGGTGGCTCTCGCATTTGCGCCGCGCACATTCGTTTTGAAAAAAGCATCAGTTTCACATATTAAAGAGGCGGGTCGTTTTCAAACTGTGGCCCTCGTATCAGCGCCGCGCACATTTGCTTTAAACATTTGGAAGAGCTTCACGAATTGAGGGCGAGTCGTTTTCAAAATGTGGCTCTCGCCTTCGCGCCGCGCACACTCGTTTTGAAAAATGCATCAGCTTCACGGATAAAAAAAGAGGCGGGTCGTTTTCAAAATGTGGCCCTCGCCTTCGCGCCGCGCACATTCGTCGTAAAACATTGCAAGCGTTTCACGGATTGAAGGCGGGTCGTTTTCAAAACGTGGCCCTCGCCTTCGCGCCGTTCACATTCGTTTACAAAGTGTACAAGCGTTTCAAGGATTCCCAAAACCAACGTACCAGAAATGGTGCCTAGGAGAGATTCAGGACTGGGCGGGTGCAACAGTTACGCTGGTTCGAGGTGTTTATGTCCCAAGAATGGTGTTCTGGTGCGATTCAAGATCGCCAAGACGCAACAGCCATGTTGATCCGTGGCGTTGGAATCCCGAGAACAATGTTTTGGCATGCTTCAAGGTCTTCAAACGGTTGCCTTCCATCGATGCACTTCCCTCAGTGGGAATGACCCGTTGTAGGGGCCTGCGAGGAAGGAGCTCGGAGGGAGGGATTCTTCCAACATCATTGATGATTATTGGCAATAATTGGGTTTCCACTGTTCCTCGTCCTCCTCCTCCTCCTTCTCTTCCTCCTCCTCCTCCTCCTCCTCCTCCTCCTCCTCCTCCTCCTCCTCCTCCTCCCCCTCACTCTCGACCCCCCACTCTCTCCTCCTCCCTGCCCCCTCCGCTCTCTCGATGATCCTCAAGACGTGTGTGAACGCCACCGTGTGTCCACTGAAACCCTGCCGCGTGTCGTAGGTGGTGCCAACGCACGCCGACGCGTGTCACAGAGCGTCGCGGCACGCCAGTGGGTCGCAAGCGCCCTCGTGCCGTCGTCCCTCAATCGCCCCTCCTCCCTCGTACCTCCTCCCGCCCTCCTCCTCCTCCTCCTTCCCCCAAGCTTTCGTTATTATTCCCCCCCCTTCCCTCCGCTCCTCTTCATCCCCAAGCACAGGTTGGAAAGCATCAAAAACGTTTTCAGCGAAGGCGTGATCCGAAAATGATTGCGCTCGGTCAATTACGCGCAATCAATCGCTACGCACATAACTAAATTGTGCGCATGGTATCAGTTAACACGCGCATCAACCAGTTCTCAATCATGCGAATCGCATCAGGTGCCATCGGCTCGGGGACAATCGTTACGCGCATCTATCAGTCGTACAGCTTACCACCTTACCCTCTTGCGCCTGCATATCCTTTGCCAACCTCCGTCCGTCGCTCAATGTTTCGGCGATAGTAGCAATTGCCGACATTGTTGGCACAACTGGGCCATATGGCTGAGTGGGGCAGGCAAGAGCTAACTGGCATGAACCTCTCAGTGCACGTGGGGGTCCATGTAATGATGTTCGTTGTCCATCCATCTGCGACCGCGGTGGTTCCGAACGGAACTTCGACTCCGCATAGGGCTCCAGACTCTCCTCTGAGGTGGCCCAGGACGGGCCACTCTCGAATAGGTCTTGTTTTACAAGGCCAAGACGAGCGACTGGATCATAAGCCATGCTCCGAGCTGGGCCTAAGTGTCTCAGGGCCAATCAGGGCCAGTCCTGGAGTCCTATTGGCAGGCGCTCTGGGGGCCAGTCCAACCCACATCCCTGTACAACTGTATGTTTTTCTACATGGTCTTGGCAACCTCGGCGTCTCAAGAACGGCCGATACGGCCCAAGAGACACCCAAGATAGGCCCCACGAGTGGCCCAATATACTTGAAGCAATCCGCCCCAAGATGGCCTCCCAGGGCCGCCAAGAGGCCCCCTAAGAGGCCCCAGGAGCCCCCCCCCCCCCCTCTTGTCCTTCTTATATATGCCCTGGGCGTTGGTTGTCCCTTTTTAGCTCGGCGTGTTGGAAAACATGGTTCAGGTCTTCGAGGTCCTAACAGGAAAGCAGCAGCAACAACAACAACAACAACAACAACAACAACAACATCAACAACGGCACCAGCAACAGAAACAACAAGGTGAAGCCAGCTGCCATGAACCCGGTCCCACGGGACCCAGCTGGCCGGCTTCCCCCAGGGGGCGAATCCGGCTGCCGGGTACCCGGTTCCCCCCCCGACCCTCCGAACAACGAGCAACAGAACAACAGAAACTGAACGCACACGCGCACACACACACACACACACACACACACACACACCTTTTCGCACATCCACCGAAAGCGCCTGCATGATGCAAGAGTGCACGGGCGAGGCGATTTCTATGGGATCCCTACAAACCCTGATGGGATCCCTATGTGATCCCTATGGGATCTCTACAGACCCTCATGGATTCCTATACAATCCCTAAAGTTCCTCACGGGAACCCTATCGGACCCATACAAGTACTCATGGGATCCCTGTGGGATCCCTCCACACCCACATGGGACCCCTATGGGACCCCTACAGACCCTCATGGGATCCCTATGTGATCCCTACGGGATCTGTACAGACCCTCATGGATTCCTATTAAATCCCTAAAGTTCCTCACGGGAACCCTATCGGACCCATACAAGTACTCATGGGATCCCTGTGGGATCCCTCCACACCCACATGGGACTCCTACGGGACCCCTATGGGGCCCTCATGGGATCTCCATGGGACCCCTACAGACCCTCGTGGGATCCCAATGGGACCTCTGCAAACCCTCATGGGAACCCTATGTGATCCCCACAAACCCTCGCGGGAATCCGATGGGACCCCCACAGACCTCCATGGGATCCCTATGGACACCTACAGACCCTCATAGGATCCTTATGGGGCCCCTGCGGGGCCCCACCAGACCCTCACGGGATCCCTATGGGATCCCTACAGACCCCCATGGGGCCCGTATGGGAACCCTACAGACCCTCATGGGATCCCCATGGAATCCCTACAGACCCTCACGGCATCACTATGGGACCCCATACAACCCCTTACGGGATCCCGATGGCATCCCTACGACCCTCATGGCGACCCCATGACACCCCTACAGACCCGCATGGGGTCCCTCTGGGACCCCTACAGACTCCCATGGGTTCCCTCTGGGATTCCGACAGACCCTCGTGAAATCCCTATGGGACCCCTGCAGGCCCTCATGGGATCTCTATGGGGCCCCTATAGGCCCTCACGTGGGATCCTCACGGGATCCCTATGGGATCTCTGCATACCCTCATCGGATCCTGATGGGATCCCCTTCGTGGATCCCATATGGGATCCCTACAGACCCCCATGGCATCTCGATGGGATCCCTACAGACGTTCATGGGATCTCTATCGGGTCCCATCAGACCCTCATGGGATCTCATTTAGGAAACCTACAGGCACCCATGGGATCCCTATGGAACCCCTACAGACCCTCATGGGAGCCCGAAAGAACCGCATACACACCTACATGGGATACCTATGGGATCCCTACGGGATCCTCATGGGATCCCTTCGGGCCCACATGGAAACCCCATGGGGTCCCTGCAGACCCTCATGGAGTCCCGATGGGGTCCACAGGATCCCGGTGGGATCCCTACAGGCCCTCATGGGACCCCTGTGGGACCCCTACATACCCTCGTGGGATCCCTCTGACACCCCTACAGGCCCTCATGGGATCCCCATGGGATCCCTACAGACCCTCATGGGGACCCTATGTGGTCCCTGCAGACCCTCATGGGATCCCCATGGATCAACGCGCAGTCGTAGTAGTTATCGTATCAATAGTAGTGGCAGCAAGTCGTAGTAGTCATAGTAGTAGTAGTAGCAGCAGCAGAAGTAGTAGTAGTAGTAGTAGTAGTAGTAGTAGTAGCGGTAACAACAGTAGTGATAGTGGTACTTGTCGACGTGCGAGTAGTAGTAGCAGTAAAAGCAGTAGTGGTAGAAGTACTCGTAGTACTACTCGTATTAGTACTAGTAGTAGTAGTAGTAGTAGTAGCAGTAGTAGAAGTAGTAGTAGTAGTAGTAGTAGTAGTAGTAGTAGTAGTAGTAGTAGTAGTAAATGTAGTAGTAGTAGTAGTACTTGTAGTCGCGCTAGCCGCAGTAGTAACAATAATACTACTAGTGGAAGTGGCAGTAGTAGTAAGAGTAGTGGTAATAGAAATCGTACGTTTGACAAACAACAAGCGTGGACGTAAAAGCATTAGCAGTCGTAGTAGTAGTGGTAGTCATGCAAATAATATTGGTAGTGAAACTACTGGTAATAGCAATCGCACTGGCAGTCGTCGTAGTAGTAGTAGTAGTAGTAGTAGTCGTAGTAGTAGTAGTAGTCGTAGTAGTAGTAGTAGTAGTAGTAGTAGTAGTAGTAGTAGTAGTATAGTAGTTGTCGTAGTAGTAGTACGTACGTACGTAGTACGTAGAATAAGCAAATCACAAAGGAGTGGTCGTAGCAACAGTAGTAGTAATGGTACCACTCAAAGAAGTACTACTACCGGTAGTATTAATACTATTTTCATTCGTAGCAGTAATACGTATGCAGGGTTAGACAGACGAGTAGTAGTCGTAGCAATGATTCAAAATAGCTGTAGTACTAATAGTAAGCCTGCTATTTTTTTGCAGAAGCTATTAGTGGTAGTCGTAGTAGTAGATAGTATTAGTCGTAGTAACAGCACTAGAAATGGTGGTAGTAACAGTAGCAGTAGTCGTAGTAGTAGTAG